CCATATGATACCATTGTAGGCCAACAAAGACCTACAGTAGGTCCATGAAGTATTTCAATAATTAAAAACCACCATGGATTTGATACAGTACTATATGCCATAAATCTATAAAAATTATATGATTATGAATCAAATAATAGAAAGAAATTTAGAAATATTTAAAAGAAATTTTATTACTTACCTAATTGCATAAATCAGTAAAACTAAACTCATGACATTTACATGACCTAATTTTCGTAGTACATTTCCTGAGATGAAATTAAATGGTAGTTCTCCTAAAAAACACTGTACACCAGTCAAAAGGCCTTGTAAAGTTTTCAGATGTGTTATTTGAAAACTAGAGTTTGCTAGGTCTTCGGTATACCAAAATAGAAAATTCCACACTACACTAGTACACATTCCAGTTCCTATACACCACCATCCAAATGCCAAAACATTGCCTTCTCTAAGAATGGTGAATAGTTCCAATAATATTGAAGGTTCATCCTCAGAGTATTCTGGACTTTTCTGTAATGATACTGCTTTCTCCCATTACCTGCCAATTTTTTATTCTTTTGATAAGTAAGAAGTATCAAACTTCTGTACTATCTAAACTTCTACCTATTCTTAACATCATATATATTAAAAAACTGTACCTTTCTTAAAGTTGTAGATATAATAATATCAAAAATCATAATGATCAACATAATATAAAATATACAAGTATAATCTTTTTGAAGCTTTCCTGCACTAAATATATCTACAAGATATCCTGCGCTTACTCCAAAAATACCAAAACCAATACTACCCCACATTTTTTGTTTTCCATATTCATTTCTTCTTTCATTTCCTATAATATACAATTATAAAAAAAAAATTAAATATTTAATAATAAATATAACATATATGCTACTAACCAAGAAGATTAAAACATATAGCATCTGTAATGCTAACTACAACTGCCATTCCAATCCAACTTATTACAGTTGCCCATAAAAATGAATAAAATTGGTATGTTGAATTCTGTGTAGAATTCTCAGAAACATCAATTTCATACAATAGTTGATTAAAGATTGGATTATCGTAACATGTAGCTATACATGATGTTCTCACATGATGTTTACAAGCTGGTTTGTATATTGCACCATCTGAGAATTTAGCAGTAAAAATACGTATATACATACAATTATTTATCTGTAAAATAAAGAATTTAATAAAGAATATTTCTAAATAAACAATTATAAAAAATTATTTTCAAAATATCTTACATAGAAATCATGAAATATATCAAATGTTAAAGTAAAATTAAATGTATCTGTATCCAAAATAGTACTTGAATTTTCCAATTCACAAAAATGAGATACTTTCCAATATGAACAGATTTCTAAATAAATTTCTTTCGTGGCTTTACAAGATACCTAAAAAAATATCATACAAAATAATATTATTATAATTATATATATAAAGATTAAAATATATTATATGAAATAATATATAAATAAATTATAAAAATATTATACCTGACACGATTTATTTAAGTGAAGCTCTGTTATTACATCTTGTATAATTTTATCAGAAAATCCATGCTTTGAACACATTTCCAAAGTTGCTTCACCATTACAAGTAAGATAAACATTTGCTTTATTATTTATTTCAGGTATAAAATATATTGTGAAAAGAGCTATTGCAACTATAACTTGAAATATTAAAAATAATATTTTATGAATTTTAAATTTGTCAGCCAATGCTCCAAATAAAGGTTTTGCTATTAAACCAGAAATTGGTAATATTGTATATATTGTGCCTACTAAAAAGCCAGAAAATCCTAATTGTTTTGCTATTGTTGGTAAGAATGGTACTATTGGTCCAGTAGCTAAAAGATAAAAAATATAATTTTTTATAATATTTTATAAAATATTCAATATTTAAATTTTAATAAAATGAATTAATATAATATTACCTGCATTAAATAAAAAATAATGTGCTTTTATTGGTAGCAATCTATTATTTATATTTTCAAACATTTTAGAATTGTCATAAATTAAAAATAAGTATAAATTATCACCTGCAAATAATATATATTTTTAAAAAATTATTTTAATTTTTATATTTCTTTAAATAAATAAAACGAATTAATATAATTAATTATTATTAATTAACACCAATTTAAAACTAATAATAATAATAATATAAAGCTTTGTAAATATATTTATAATAAAAATTTTTTACATTATCTCATGAATAATCTAAATATGTACTTTGTTCAGAAATACTTTATTAAGCTACTTTTTATTAAAAATACGAATCCCACTTGCTGAATGTGCAATTTTTTTTTATCTGAATCATAAAATATAGATATCATTGAATAGAAACTTATAGATATTATATTCAGATTCCTCGTATATTATTGTGATATTATATTAAATTTTTTATAATTATGATCATGATTATATATTATAAATTTGGTGCAATTTAGTTCCAAAAATTTTTGCAAATTACAATTAGTTTTTTTCTAATATTTCTAATGCACATTTTTTATAATATTAATCAATAAGGAATTATAGATTTCGATAACAATATGTATGTAATAATATTTGCAACAATATTGATCACATCAGATTATCAAATTCTTATTAAAATTAACACTTCACTGAATTGAAAATTTTTATTAAAATAATTGAATAGATTAGATATAACTATATTTATTAATTTGTGGTAGAAAGATATCATACAACATATACAGATGAAATACAATATAGATCATAAAAGAAATACAGAATAGACATGACATGCGATGCATGTTTTAAGAATTTGCCTTTGGGCCATCTGTTTTTTTTTTTTAGTATTTTCATGTTATATGCATCATTATCGATTCAAAATGGAATTAGATAACAGCGCTATGGTTAATTGCTAAGAAGAATTGTAATTAAATATGTCACATGCGACATTATCAATTTAGAACGAAATTAGATAGCAACGCTATTTAGAGAACGAGAGGAATTATAATTAAATCATACATTATCATTAAATTGAATGTAATTTCTAAGCTCATCATTTTAAATTGTAAAAAGTAACATAAAATGTCTAAAATGTTACAAAATATCTTATCCTATTCCTTTTCTGTAGCATAATATATAAATATATTAAATAAGAAGATATTGCATGTTAATAATTTATCACTTTTTTAAATTATAAATTTTCTATAATAAAAATATTATCTGTTATAATTTAAATAAATATCTTAACTTTATAAAAAAAAATTATAACAAAAATTAAATAAAGAAATAGATAAATTATATTCATTATATTCAAATATCGAACACAAGTTTGTAACAAACTGTGCTTTAATCTGTCTCATCGATACATTTACAATATACATTTACAATATATATGTATATATTTATAAGTTTTAATATACCGCGCTTCCTTTTTTATTTTTTCAGCAATAAGGTGGGTTAATGTATGATTGCGGTGTACATATTACACTTTATTTTGTCATTCATGAGATACGACGCACATTCATACTAGCGCATATACACACGATGTACATACATCTTCCATTCTTGCTATATCCTATAATTTCCCGTTGTTTATTTCTTTTAATCTTCGCGGACGATTCTACAATGTCCTTTGACCTTGCAGATCTTTCTTTACATCGAGCACATTGTCTATGAAGGATATGTAATTTTATATACAAAGAAACAAATTTCTAACTTACGCACTAACGAATCTATCTAACTCTACATAAGATACACCAGCAACAGTGCGCTCCATATCATACAAAAATTCTTTTGAAAATTAAAAGTTACATAGATTTTTTTGAATGTCTAGCAGCTTTTGAATACAAAAAAAAGGGAAGCAACATATTTTCCACAGATAAAACAATTACGTATATTACGTAAACGAATCATTATCTTTTTTATCTTAAAAAAAAGTTACATAAATCATGTCTTGATAGATAGAGAAAAAAGGACATTTTTAAGAGCGCAATAGATAGAGGAACTTTTGATAGAAGGTTACTTCCGGCACTAGCGACTGAACTTATATCTAAGTTGTCGACTAGTCATTAGAAAAAACTATCAAAAATTCCTACATAAAGTAGGCTTATTCTTTATATACATATAACTACATAATAGATTACCTTATTAAAGGTAAACTTTGTTTCTAATATATCGTGTAAAAATGTCAAAGATTCATATTCGTATTTTTTGATAAAAAAAGGAAACAAATGCGAAAATGGGGAAGACAAGTCGGTGGAAAAACCATTTTGATTTCAGAGAGAGCTTTAAAAATTCGTTATTTGTAAGTCAATAAGTAAAATATTTACAAAAAGAAAAAAAGAAAAAAAATAGAAAAAATAAACGATCAAAATTTCTTGATCGTATATTTTTTACTGTTTGACATTATGAGTTTAATGTATTAACAATCTCAAGAAATAATCAAAATATTCTTCCATCCTTATAAATACAGTACCGAAATTTTTCGTCAAAAAAAAAAAGCCAAACAAACAAACAAAAATAATAATAATAAAAAGAAATTAAAAAATTAATAAAAAGAAAATAAATGTCTGGAAAACTATATCGCGTCCATTAACAAAAGATAAATGAATTGAGTCATATAAAAAAATTAAAAAGAATCCATGATCCCGTAATATATTTTGAAAACCCTTGTCCTTATCAATTAAACCAGAAAAACATCGGTACCGTTCCTTTTTCTTTTTTTATCTCCAAGGAAGAAAATTTTTATTATTGTTGCACAGCGCGAGACGAGATTAAATAGAATAATATTTACAATCGCATTTTATATAATATTTTGATAAAATTTTCTTTTGCATCTCATTAAGAGAACAAACAAAACATTATTTTAAGATTAATATAATTCAATTAGATAAAAAAAGAAAGCTACTATATTAACAATATCTCTCGTTTTAAATATTCATTCATTCAAATTTTTAAAGAAATAATGCATCCACCGAAATGTCACATACAAATGTTCCGAAACAGCCATTACAAAGATTTTAACGGCTAAAGCCAGGACGGTCGATGATGATGGGGCGGCGGTTGAAGTGCATACAAGGAATGAATGTATTGTTGATAAGCAGTTGGATCCATCGTTAAATTTGGGCCATGCGGCGTGACGTAAGCCGACACTGGAGGTCCATAAGCTGCTGGTCTTTGAGCGGAATGAAGGAAAGGATGAGGCGGATAGTTTCTCGGCGGTTGATTGCTAAGTTTGTTGCAAGCTTGCTGCGTAGCATCCGTGACCGGTGGAACTTGTTGTTGCTGCTGCTGTTGTTGCTGCCTGAGCGCCATACTGTAATAACTATTTGGATTTCGAAATTCATCCAAAAATGCAAATGCCGCTGCGGCTGCTGATGCGTCTTTATCGTAGAAAGGTGAACTAGTTGTGGTGCTAGTTGACGCAGCAAAATTGAAGGCACTCCCAGTTGGTGGGACCATAGTGGTGTTCTTCAGACCTATAGAATCCGCGGATGTTCCCGTATATTGTGGAAAACCAGGTATTCCTGTACCAGATTGTGGCTCTGTACTAACCACTGAAACGCTCGTGTTTTGCTGTTCTTGTTGTTGTTTACTCTTCCTACTTTTCTTCGTTTTCACAGGCGTGGATGTGGAACTAACAGACGACTCTCCACTCCTACGAGATGATGACATCGATAGAATACCTTGCGTATTCTTCGCGGCTGCTGTCTGCAAACTTTGAAGTAAATTTAAATCTAGTTCTGTGGCGCCAGAAGTTGGATTACGCGCGTACGTTAAATGTTCCGGTTTCGTTGGCGGTGGTCGAGGAATGTTCAATAATTGTTGTTGCTCTTTACCTGTACGACCTACCAAACCTAGACCTAGACGAGCATATGCTGGATTTGTTGCTACGGAATCAGCCAAGTTCCCGACGAATGCAGTGTCAAATTGACTAGCTGAAACTGCATCTGGTTGCGGCAATGCCATTATAGGATCGAATCCGAATTGCTCTTGACCTGTTGTTCTTGCTGCGGTCTCCTGCGCCAAACCACGAGATGAATCTGTGGACGATTCATTATAAATACGTTTCTTTACAGGAGCCAAATTACTGGTCGAACTATTCGCTGTTCCGCTGTTGGCGACAGCTTTCGAATTAGCATCGAAATAATGTGGACTAGGATACACCGGTCTGGAATTCGACATCGGACCATAACCAGATGATTGGAAACCACTAGGGTAAAGAGATTCGTGTGGTGTCAAATTTTGCTGGAATGCTAAGATTTGCGATTGATCTTGAGTTGATCGTTGCTGAGTATATTTTTGAACATTTAGAGAATTGCTGAGGTCGGTGAAACTGGGCCGTTCCTGAGATGATTGCTGCGACTGTTCCTGACCACCATGCCTTGAAACAGATCTCTGAAGATCGATGTTAGGATAATTATTTCCAAATGTTGGCGGATATTGATTTGGCGATTGATAGATCTGATGATTTGTATTCAAATTCAATGATGCAGCTTCCGAAGATACGGTAAAATTTCTTTGTTGTTCTATGTTCGATGACTTTTCAGTGGTGCTAGATTTTAAATAATCCGTTCGATGCTCTGCTTCATTTAACGTCGATGATGCTGGTGATGATTGAATATAAGGATGATTCTGCTTGTATCCATGGGAGTAATTCGAAGGTGTCGAGGCAGTTTGCGGATATTCTTCTGCGCTTTTAGAGTGTGATTGCGGTAAACTGTAATTTGTACTTTGCTGCGGAGACGGCTGTGAATAACTTGAAGGCTGTTGTGAAGATTGCGACGTCTGTGATGCGCACATGGATTTCTGTTGGGGTGATGGTTGGGAATAAGTATGAGTTTGTTGAGGCGACGGCGCTGGTTGAGAATAATTGTGCGATTGCTGAGAAGATGGTGATGGCTGAGAATAGTTACGGGACTGTTGAGGAGATGGAGATGGTTGTGAGTAGTTACGAGATTGCTGAGGTGATGGTGAAGGTTGAGAATAATTGCTTGGCGGTGCTTGCTGAGGGGACATCTGAGAATAATTCTGTGATTTTTGAGGTGAGTGTATCGAGTGCGAGTAATTGGTAGATTGTTGAGGAGAAGGCTGAGAATATTTAACTGCTTGTTGAGGAGATGATTGAGAATAAGATGCATTTTGCGGAGAAGGTTGAGAATATGAGGGCGGTGCTTGCGGAGAATGTTGAGGAAACGTTTGAATTTGTTGAGGCGATGGTTGGGAATAATTTCGCGGTTGAGGAGATGATTGAGAGTAACCCGCTGTGAGTGATTGAGGCGAAGATTGCGCATAATTGGAAGAATGCGTCTGAGACGATGGATGTGAAAAGTTTGAAGATTGAGATTGTTGAGGATACACAGGAGGAGGTTGAGGCGATGGCTGGGAATAATTTGAAGGTGGTTGAGGTGATGGTTGAGAATAATTGGAAGGTGGTTGTGGTGACGATTGAGTATAATTGGAAGGAGGTTGTGGTGATGATTGAGAATAATTGGAAGGCGGTTGAGGTGATGGTTGAGAGTAATTGGAAGGTGGTTGAGGTGATGGTTGAGAATAACTAGAAGGTGGTTGAGGTGACGATTGAGAATAATTGGAAGGTGGTTGAGGTGAAGCTTGAGAATAATTGGAAGGTGGTTGAGGTGANTTGAGAATAATTGGAAGGTGGTTGAGGTGAAGCTTGAGAATAATTGGAAGGTGGTTGAGGCGATGTTTGAGAATAATTCGTAGGTGGTTGTGGTGATTGTTGAGAATAATTTGATGGTGGTTGAGGAGACAATTGAGAATATCCGGATGACTGTTGCGGAGATTGTGCATATGGAGAATGTTGTTGTTGTGGTGAGGATTGAGAATAATTTGGCGGTGCTTGAGGAGAAGCTTGAGAATATGGTGAGTGTGGTTGTTGAGGCGAAGATTGAGAATAAGTGGCAGATTGCGGAGATGGTTGTGAATAATTGGCGGCGTTTTGTTGCGGAGAAACTTGTGAATATTTGGGAGTGGAAGGTTGTTGAGGAGATGGTTGTGAATAATTTGATGGTGGTGGCTGAGGGGAAGGCTGTGGATATACTTGTTGTATAGGCTGTGGTGAATGCTGTGAATAAACTGGAGATTGATTTTGATTAGAAGACAATTGTTGATTGTATGCTTCGTTTTGTGTAGAATTCTGAGAGAAATTAGTTTGCGGCGATCGTTGAGGAAATGTGGGTGACAATTGATGATACATTTCCCTAGAATTTTCCTGAGGTGATTTCTGGAACGTTTGATGCGATTGTTGGGCAGGTATTTGGTACAGAGGCGCTTGTTCATATGATGATGATGGATAAGCTGGAGATAAAGGGTGATTTTGTGGTGATGGAGTGGGAGGTAATTGAGCACTGTATCTTGGTGGTGTGGCATAATAAGGACTATTGTAAGGGCTACTTCCTGTCGATAAAGCGTCCTGATAGAATCCAGCTCCTCTAATTTGCGGCTCAATCGAAGCCATTATAGGTTGTCCTTGTGGAGATCGACCTGAACGTCCAGGGGGTGACTCTTGGGAAAAACTCGAAACAGATTCACTTACACTACTACCACCAGTACTCATTCTTCTTTGTCTACCACAAAACACTTCCTGCAATTCACCATCCTTCTTTGTTATACCATCCTCTGATTCTTCATCTTTCTTTTTTAACTTTGGCGCTCCGAACGCTTTGAACCAAGCACTCAAATTTGGTGTCGCTGCTTTGGGTTTCTGCGTGTCCTTTACATTAGACTGATTATCTTTAGATTCTTCTACGACCGTAGTTGTTTGCGTCGTTGTTATTCCTGATGTGTTTTCTTCTTTTAGACTAGACACTGGGATTGCAGGAAGAGTATTGTGATCTTCTTCTTCATCGTCATTTGAAAAATTGGGATTGGGCGAGGAAACTAAACTCTTACAAATTAACTGTATGGAATCTACATTTTTCAAAACTGTTCCTAAACTAAGTTTCGGTTCTTCATCTGTATTCTTATTCGTTTGATCATTATCGCTGGTCAACTGCACCGCTGTTTCGGTGGTATTAACATTAGGTAAATTTAATGGTTTTTTTAAAAGTAAATTTCCCTTACTTTTTCCAGGTTGTAAACGATCTATTGTACGTTGAATTTTTTTTGGTCTGGTAGGTCCATGAGGACCAAAAATTTTAATAGAACTTGGTCGTTTCCTAGGTGCTTCTACTTTTGGACCTGATCGGCCAGATTCAACGGACGAAGAATGAAATATTGGTGAATCGCTTCCTGAAGAAAATTCAGAGAGTCTTGGTGCGTCATCAAGCCATTTGTTGATATCCTATTTGAAGATAAAAGTAAAATAAAATAAAATATAGTTATGTATAAAATATTATATAATAACTTATACAATTATTTAAACGTGAAACATAAAATATTCTTACATGAAGTGTTTGTTCTGTTGCTTGATTCAAGGCTTGCATGGAGCTTTCTTCTTTTCCAAATCCTTTGGTATGCTTTGATTGAGATACTTTTACTTTTTTCTCGGTGATTTCTTGGTCATGAGTTGTGAGGGAATCTTCGGTAGGAACTTTTTCTTCTTTTATTCCTTTTTTAAACTTTGGTCGTTTTACGCTGGCTTTATCGCTGTCGTGAAAGGTACTACCATTTGAAGGCACTTTTTTTGAATACATATTGTGAAGATCATTCTTCCCAGTTTTCTTTTGTTTCTCTTTCTCATTTTTCAATTTTTCTTCTCGCCGTCTCTCACTTATTTTATCTTTTAAACCATCCAATGATTCTATGTCTTTATCACCTATAAATGCGGAAATCTTCTTAGATGTATGCGTTTCTTTCGAATCTATATCACTTTCTAGATCTATGTCTTTGGAATCTATTTCACTTGATATTTCTCCATTTTTAAGTTCATCATTTTTTTGTTTTGATTTTTTCTCTTTATCTTTAACTCGACTTTTCTCAGACTTCTCATCAGATTTTAATATTTTTAACCCCGTTTTATCCTTTTTCCGATTTTTTTTGACCTTAACATGCTGTGTTTTCTCTTCTTTTTCCGGTACTGTTTCGTCTTCAAGAGATTCGGTTTTTTTCATTTTATTCTTCTTCGCATTATCTGTAAATATTTCGGTATCCTCCAGTTCCTTCTTTTCGATCTTTCTACTTTTACTTTTTGCAACGACTAGGGGTTCATAATCTTCTTCGAAATCTTCCTTTCTCTTCTTATTTTCTTTTGATTCTTTTATCGGCCGCACATTTTCCATTTCTTTTTTTTGTTGATGACGTTCTTTACTAATTTTTTTATCTATCTTCTTAAGCTCTTCTGATTCTTTGGATGTTAGCTTTTTGGTTTTTAATAATAAATTATTCCCATCAGCATGTTTTCTTCTTTTTGATGTTATAATACTTGATTCAGACATTGCATCTTCGCTCTCTTGTTCTTCCTGCTCTTCTTCATTTACAGATTCTTCGTCTTTTGCTCTTTTGTTCTTTTTCTTTCCTCTCTTTTTCTTTGGAAGCTTATAATTTTTTCCTCGTTTTTCTTCTTCATCATTTTTATCATTTGTTTTGGATTTTCCTTTACTTTCAGATTTATATGATTTTGATTTTTTCGTAGATTTTTTCGAACGTTTTCTATTTTGATGAGGCGATGAAACACGAGAAGGACACGAGGGAGATGCCGGAGTAGCAAGAAATGATTTCGGCGATGAGGGATCCTCATCGCTAGATGTTTCCGATTCCAAATAACGATTTACTGCTTTATCAAATGCTTCCTTAAGATTAAATGCCATTTCTGTATACTCTAGAATAAAAAGAAAAATATATAAGTTTGAAAATAATATATTATTAACAATATATAATATATTTTTTTGAAAATAAAAAATACTAACCATTATCAGAACCATTATATTGCCTACAATTATCTACTATCAGTCGAAAATCACGTTTGAATTCACTTAGACTTTTATATAAACTATTTTCAAGTTTTTCTTCCATTGTACTAAGATCCATAGGTTTTCGTACCACGCTATAGTATCTATATAAAATAATAATAACAATAATATCAGTTTCGAGTTTAAAATATAATAATATAATAATATATATAATTGTAATACCTTGGGGCATATTCTTCATCCACAGGATCAATAAATGGCCAAGCATCAACATGATCTTTAAGACTTTCAAGAACTTTGTGCATTCCAACGCGACGTTCTTCTTCTTCAATTCCAAATGAGTAACCATACTTATATCCATAATTAGAAGATACATAATGTCCATCACTATTGCTGCCAATCCCTTTCTTTTTTTCTAATCCCTCCACTTCATCCCTGGTATGAATCACAATCTGACCAACAGCTGAAGCCAACGAATTATTAGTTTGCCGTCCTTTCTTTTGAACTGGCGGAGAAGGTAAAGGCGGAGGTGTATCCTCTTTAACATAAACGTTCTTTGAATTTTGTGTCCCCTTTTTACTCCCTTTGTTTGTTTTAGTTTTGATCTTCGATCTAACCATGACTGTTTCCATCTGTGTCGTAGGTTCGTGACTTCGAAGTACACGTGAACTATTACGTTGTAACAATTTGCGTCTTTGTTGTTTTTCTTTTAAATCAAAAAGTTTAGGGATTTCGGGCATGAAATCCTCGGATAGAGTACGGTAAAGTTTACGTTCGGTATCGTACTCCTAAGTATTATAATAACATCGTTAGCAGAATCTAAGGAATAAAATAATTAATTCGTTTAATAGGACAATTACCGAATCACGAAATTTTTCAACTAGACGACTCCAATCCTGCTGAGTAAAGCAGACAACCTGCCAAACACTTTCTTTTCCTTCTCTGTGTATTAAACTGTCTTCCTTCTTCTCCTCCTCTTCCTCTTCCTCCTTCGCCACTCTGCTTCGTCGTCTTTTACGTTTTTTATCCCTAGGTTTACTTTTCTGTTTGTGTGAGATGCTGTTAGAAGTATCAATGTAGTCCTCCCTATATAATCGAGTGCCGTAAAAGTACCAATAGGCAGAATTCTTACGATCATGTCCTAAAGGTTCGACTCGCAGACTATCCGAGTCCAAATTATTTAATGATTGCTCCTAAAATTTACAAACGAAAATATTAGTATACTATGTCAACTTTATAAACAAAATTTCTAAACCAATTCATTTTTTAAACACATACCACGTCTTCAGCGTCAAGCCTGAAGTCACAAAGAGCACGTAAGATTTCTACTTTTTGACGAAGAGGTAATAATTCAAAATCTACATCTGTATTAAAAGGATTCTCACATTTGTATTCCTAGAATATAATATGAAATAAAATTTTGTTTTAATGATACATGGATAAAATTAGATATAATTTTTAATATATAATTGAAGATATAAAAATAAAAAAACTAATTTACCTGACATTTCTTTCGAAAAAGTCTACGAAGAAACATTTGATAATTAAAAGTAGAGATGTCATTGCGAGTATCATTTGGTAAACAACCTTCAAGTAACCTGACTATTAATTCCTGTACTAAACGTCCTTCAGTTCCACCATCCGTTAATAAAGCTTCTTCGAGATCCTATAATAATATATAATTAATATATATAATTATAAAAAAAAATTAGTGCAACCATGATAAAAAATATTTTTAAAAACATAAAGCTGAAGCGTGATGTATTTAATTTCCTGAAAGCTAAAGCAATATACTAACAAATTTCATGTACAATGCCTACTCGTAACAGTCAACATTTAGGTAGGTACCTCAATATCAAAGTCCAGAAGATTGAAGGCAGCCCTAAATAATGAGCAGAAGTGTGCTATACTTGGCACCTCCCACCACGATTGAATGTCTAAAAAAATAAAGGAACAATTGAGAGTTCCTTGATATTATGTTCTTTTGATCTTTGGAATGCATGTTTTTTTTTCATATTCAAAATATTTCATTTAGCCAAAAACATAATTAATAAATCTAAATCTGTGAACATTAATATAGCTATATAATTATAATTTATATCATAAAAACAAATATGTATATATATTAAAAAATAATTTTTATTTTAATATTGTTATAAATATGCATTAACACAAGAGTATTATAAATACAATATTAATATAAATTATTATTATAATAAATGCATAGATAAGTGTATATTTTAAATGATTTTAATATACTTAATTCAAAATACTGATAGTGCATTATATTTACGATGCATTTTTTATTATTCTATTTCATTATAAATTTTTTAAATATTTTTTATAGACATATAAAACATAACTTTCTAATTTATATTATTTAAATTATTTTATGATAGTTATTTTAAAAATAATATAAAAATTTTACTGAAAATTTAATTATCAATGTTCATATGATTAATATTTACAATTAAATATTTTAAAAATTATTCTTTAATAACAATAAATTTATTAATAGCAAAAATAAGTGTTTTTGAATCAATTTCTTAAAGTAACATTTACACTAAATTTTAATTTTTAATAGAAATAAATTTTAAATGTATATTTATATTATTA